CAACTGTGTTCAACTCATCACTGTTACCTGCTCCAGAGCAAAATTCTCAGGACCAAGCATCTGAGGGGGCCTGTAAAGCTCATGGCCATCAGCTCTCCCCTACTCTGCATTCTCCTCTGGAAATGACTACAACCATTCAATAAACACTTACTGAGAGCCTACTCTGCACCAGACATACTGTGCACCACACTCTACTTACGACCATTGGAGGAAACCTAACCCAAGATCCTATTTCTGCCCAATATCCAGGTTCATTCCTATGACACGATGTTTGTACTATATGGTGAAATATCTTCCTCCATTAGAAATAGCTAATCAGTTTGTTCTTCTTAGGCAACAAAACATCACATTACAAAAGAGTCTGATTTTCTCCCAGGCCATATGTCACAGTATAAATAGCACTAGTCAGGAACTTTGGATTCTTATTCTAGCCTTGTCATTTAATTTCCCCTAAAAAGTAACAAACCAAGTACTTCTCCATTTAAAAAGGAAAGGAAGTAAACTATAATCTATAAATATATTATTCTAAACATTATGGAAGTACACAAATGAGTCAACCATAACTTCCTCTTTGCTAAATCACCTGTATTACTCTTAACATAATCATCTCCTAATAGGACTAAGAATCAAATAAATCCATTGGCTACAAATAGATTTCTATAATATGGGCAAATTCATATTCTTAAAAAAAAAAAAGAAAAGATAAAAGAAAAGATAAACACAAAGAAGCCCAATCATAAAACAGAATTTTAGTATTAGAAGATCCCTTAGATGATCCTCCAGATTAATCCTTTTGTTTTAAACACAAAGAAAATGACATTCAAAGAGGTTATATGACTTGCTCAGCTAAAGGACCAGGATTAGAAACCACGCTCAGTTCTCCTTTCACATCAACCACCAATTTTTCAATAATAAAAAGCAAACAAGCTTACAGAACGTAAACATCCTCATAGCTACATATGGTAAAGGAGTTAAGATGGTACTGGATTGTCGTTCCTCAACAAAGAGAAAACTGTTTAAAGTTTTGAATAGTTAAGTGTGCAAGATGCTTTAATAAATATCATTAAATGAGTAATTATTTCTAAAACAAGGGAAATAACTCTTGTATTTGATATGTAGGCTCATGGTGTATGTATACAGTCACTGCCTACTCGCAACTCTACAGATGAATCTGCTCTTACATAATTTTTTAAATGACAAGTTCTCTACAATGACTTTTCCTGATGAAAAGAACTGGAGAGCACAAAACACAACAAAGTGAAAATGTATGTCATGGTTCTCACAATAAAACTTCAGATAATCTAAAACACAGTTAATTTAAAAATGTCATTCAGCATTGTAATCAGACACATTTTAATATGATATGTAAAAATTCAAAATTCCACTTACTCTGGAGGTATCTGATTCTGGGAAACAATACAACACCCACATGTAAATACTAACAATGAAAAAATAACAGGTCTATAAGTACAGGTGTGTGATAAGCATGGGTTACTAGAAGCAACTAATACATACAACTTCTACTAATGGAGCTGTCTTTACTTTCAAAACCTAGTGGTTACAATTTTCTGAATTTCAAATAACAGCCATAAGAATCCATCATATGCCAGGCGTAATTTCTTTGTAAAACACTATAAAAAAAGATGAAAGGTCTATGGTTCAAAGACCTCCCCTTATAGTCTTAAGGGGCTACACTGTAACCAAGACTATCCCTTCAACATTACTGAATAAAGGCAATGAGTACATGAAGTAAAATTAGTTCCCCCTCCGTGAGCTAGCAGGGTGGCATGGGAGGGCCGGATAATGATAATGACGATCCAATGCAATAAATGCTAATAGGCATCTTAACAAGTTTGTTGGAATATAAATAAAAGGACAATTAACCCCGCCAAAGAGCAACAGGGTGCAGAAAGGAAACCAAGTTAAGCACATGAATACAGATACACAGAACATTAAGAAGGCTGAATGACCAACGGGGGAGTGGCTTGAAATACTGGACTAGGGTCAGATTACGAGGGTTTTGAAGGGAAAGGAAAAAAAAAACAATATATGGAGTGGGGCTGTTGCTACTGCTAAAATATTTGTGCAGATGAGCTTATTTCATTCCTTCCACTGCCCTGTGAAGTATAGAGTGTGGCCCCCAATTTACATAGGAGGGTCATCTACAAACTGAGCTTAGGAAATGGAACCTGAGAGGCGTAACTTGCTCGAGATGACACACAAGTAATACATTGGCAGAGCTGGAATCTCAGGTAATCTAGTCTATGTGATTCGCACTATTCCGGACTGCCATGATGCCATCTTGGGGGAGTTTGATTTTTATTCTGAAGCAAATGAGGATGTAAAGGTTTTTAAGTGGATGAGTCAACTTGTATTTTAGAAGGACAACTTCTGAAAACAGTGCATGAAATGCTCTGAAATTGATGGGAAGAGTAGTTGGAGAATTACTGCCAAAAATCTAGACAGGAAAAGACCAGTTAAGACTGAGATAAGGACAGCAGGGGTCGAGAACATGGGATGAACAGATGAATTTGATGGGACTCTGAATTAATAAGACTTGCTGTCCTACTCCAATGATGAGAAAAGAGAAAGATTTCCAGCTTGAGTGACTGAGTAGATGGAAATACCATTAATTAAAATAGACAGTACAGAAGGAGGAGGAGATGAAAGTACAGAAAGAGAGGTGATCAGAAGAGGTTAAGAGCTTCTGAATATGATGAATTTTCTTTGAGTCTTAGAAGTCATTAGGATATATGACTGAAGGATCAGGAAAGTAATATGGACTAGAAATAGAGTGCTGGGAAACAAACTGTATGTCAGATGTCAACTGTAGCTGACGTCATGGGAGTGGACAAGATGGCCCAGAGAAAGCACCTGGAGTAAGCTTGAGAAAGGGGCTGCAACTAGTAAGGAAGGTCAAAAAGGACCAGGAGACAGTAGTGACCTAGGATCAAGGGAGCAGGTTATTTCATGAAATAATGGGAGGTCAAAAGCATTCAATGTGCTACTGAAAGGTCAAATAAGATAAGTGAAAATAAGCCACTGGTTTTAGAAATGGGTTGGTTACTGGTAACCTTTATATGAGAAGTTTTAACAGTGGTGAGGTTAGAAAAAAAAAGGGAGAGAATTAAATAGCAAGTGAAGAATTCAAGGAGTGCAGATAAATTTGGCATTGATGAGAAAAAAAGGTAACATGTTATACGGAAAACAGTGCAAATTATAAAACACACTGACTAAAAAGAGACTGTTTCCTCTCTTGAGTTTTTGAAGCTTTGTTATCATCAAAAAAAGATATATTTACAAAATGCAAAATTTATTTATTGAAGTAAGGATTTATGTTCCAAGAAGTTCTCTATGTTTGAGAATACTTTAAGACTCAAAATAGCCACACTGTAATGACTCATGATTTAAAAAGGAAAGAGAAATATATTATCATTCAGGTGATGTCTGAATTAACATTCCATTGTCTTTCAAAGGGCACCCTATAACTTTTGAACTTACTCAAGTTTCCAATTCTTGCTACAAATTAAGGTTTAAATAGATAAATGCCTCTTGGCCTTAAGTATAAGCACTGCCACCAACTTCAAAATTTAATCAATCTTCCTTCTATACATCTGTTAGGATTCCATAAGAAAATGCCATTCATACAAAGAAATTACTGTAATTCAACTCTGTGTGCAATAGGGAAAAAAAGGTCACAAGACAAGAGAACAGCGTAAATAAGAATTAAAAGCTATGTTACGACCTATCCTCGAAATTGATCCTAACACAGACACACATGATACAAATAACCCTTCCGTAACTCAGTAGGCCTTACAAAGAACAAAAAAAGAATTGGCCTGGATGAGAAATGTTTGGGGGAAAAGCAGTGATTTAGTAACGCTGTTTCTTTTCAAAATAAACATGGAATCATTCCTAATGACTATACTATTTTCCACAATACCAGAGGATGCAAACTAAACTTCTCAGTCTAATTGCAATTACAGCCCATGAAACTCAAAAACTGTATCATAATTATGACACAGAACTTTATCTGTCACCATTAAAATATTACTCAGAATCATATATTATTAAAACAGCTAAAGATCGACACTCATGCACACAATTCAGTAAATCCCATAAAGGGCAGCTGTGATCAAAAATATTAACAATGTAAGTGTGAAAGCTATTAGATCATTAACCATATTTTAAAATAGAGACCAAGGTGAATTTGAATCAAGATACATGCAACTGTCTAACAGTTCTCAAAAACAGATTAATGAAAATTAAATTAAAAGGCTGAAGCTATTACACACAGAATTTTAACTATCTGGTATCTTTATTTCATAGGACCTCATCTCTCACATACAATCTCAAATACTTAATTCAGAGATGCTTTAAGGTCATTTATACGTGCTTACAACTCTGCTCATAGACCGTAGTTATTTCATAAATTAATACTTTTTTGTTTTGTTTTAAAAGAAGACCAACAAAACATGAAAGCACAGACAATCTGAGTTAGGTCACCCATTGCAGGTTGGCTTCAAAGTTGTAACCTACATATTGGTTTTCTTTTATCTTTGGTGAAAGTATATAAACAATATCACTTTTAAAAAGCATCATTCTTCAGAAGCTTAACTTCAGATAAATTAATTTTGTTTCCTAATCTAATCTAATTAAGTTTTGCATTTTTTTGTGTTTAATTCATTCACAAAGTTACAAAGACAAAATTTCACTACAAAAACACAATTCTATCCTCAGGACCAGAACAAGAAATTCATTAAAAATTCTCTAAAATATGAGTTTTTAAAGCTGGAAAAAAAAAAAAAGAGTGCATGTAAAATAAATTGTTTCCAGAACATAATGAAAATGTAAGTATACACTGGATTTTTTACAGGTAATATAAATTTTACTATATCCAGAAGTTTTAAAAATATTCTTGTACTGACTTTCACATACAATAATGCTTTACATCAGATTTAAGCAGTTATGATTTAAGGTAATCTTTGAGAGCTACTTACAATCCAGAAGGCAAATTCCTGGCTGCAGTGATACCAAATGAATACCACACAGCTTCAACAAGGATGAAGTCACCCACGGCTGACAAAACCCAGGAACCCAGTAAAAAGGACTGAAAATAAAATAGGAAGAACATTACAGAGAGGAACCTTCTAAAAATAAACTAATTTTAATTAATTAGTACCAGCTCAGGTATATATATATTTTTAAGTTTGTTTTTGTTCAAACAGACTTTTCAAAATGAGGGAGTAAAACAATATTGGTCAAATGTATTAACTTTCATAATTTCTAAGTATGTTAAAAAAAGATATTTACAGTATGATTTATTTTTACAAGTAACACACAAACCATTAAGCAAAATAAGTGATTAGAATTTTACTAAAGTAAAAATCCTAATTAAAATTTTTATTGCCTACTCACTAATATTATCTGTTATCATTATCATTATTATTATTTTGTTATGCTAGTGGCTTAAATTTAAAATTTGTCTCTGGTTATTATCCATGCTCCAAACCAGACTGAGGATCATGTAATTAAAAGATAACTGTTAATAACAACATCAAGCTAAATAAAATAAAATTATTGCAAAATAAGAAAACAAAAACATTTTTTCTGTAATCTAAGTAACAAAGGGAAAATACATAAAAACTTACTGCAAATTTTCTGCTTCCATATCTTCTTTCAAATATTCTAAAATTATAAATAAGCAGACTACTGCAGAAAGTATCTTTCAAATCGAGGCAAATTATTCTTCCACATATCAACCTCCAGATCTAGATGGGGATTTAAAAAAGAATAGCAAATAGGAGTAAAAATTGTTCAGATCTCTTCCACAGCAAATTTATTGTGTTTACTTTGTACTGCTTATTTATTATACTCTAAGCAAACTAATGTCACACACAAAAAAGTTGAACTACATATGTGATTTCCCTAGGAAATGAGCTCAATCCTCTCACACTAAAAATTCCTTTCGTATAATGGTACTCAAAAATTTTGTGTTTATTATAATAGAATGTGTTCTCATTAAAATAACAAAAAATTTTCTTAAAAAATTTTTAAACTGTGTTTAGTAAAATTTTAAAAATCATATATATGAGCTGGAATGAAAGGCTACCAGATGTTTATTTTTATGTTACTAAATAAAACAAACTTGTATCTGAAAAGCAACTTAGGGATAAACCCAAAATACACATTTCTGAGCTTAATTTTAATGATCAACCTACTTCATAGCAACTTTGTACAAGGCAATTTATAACAACTGTTGTTAAATATTACTAATTTGAAATTTTTAACTAACTTAGTTTATTTAAATCATTCTGGTTTAGGTGAAAAACATATAAAGGGATATAGAAAGGAAAAACAGTCATTCAAAGGCTACTCAAACTATTGAGTCTTCTTAAATATTTTCCATATTTTGAAAGATAAAGCTAGTAACATCTGCAAAATATTCTGATCTCATTTTCCTTTCACAATTACCTTACAAAATAGGTAAAACAGATACTTTTAGATTTTTTTTACAAAATAGGTAAAACAGAAATCCTATCTCTTTTTTGGTATTTTTATTTTGATAAAATAAACACAAAATGTATCATTTTAATTATTTATAAGTGTACAAATTCAGTGGCATTAAGAACATTCACAGTGATGTACATCCATCACCAGAACTGATTAATCATCCCAAACAGAAACTCTGTACCCATGAGACAATAGCTCCCCATTCTCTACTCTCCTCAGCCCCTGGTAACCATTATTCTGCTTTCTGTCTCTAAGAATTTGACTACTCTAGGTACCTCAAATAAGTGGAATCATACAGTATTTGTCTTTTTGTACCTGGCTTATTTATTTCACTTAGCATAGTGTCTTCAAGGTTCATGTTGAAGTATGTATTGAAAGTTCATTGCTTTTAATGGTTAAATAATATTCCATATACATATATGCCACATTTTAAAAATCCATTTATCTGTTAATGGACATTTGAATTGTTTCCACCTTTTGGCTAATTGTGAGTAATACTGTTATGAACATTTGTAACATCTGTATACTTTGTTTTATTGAGCTTCATTTTATTTTGCTTTGCAGATACTGTGTTTTTTACAAATTGAAGGTTTGTGACAACCCAGTATCGAGCAAATCTATCAGCGCCTTTTTTCCAACAGCATTTGCTCACATCCTGTCTCTGTGTCACATTTTGGTAATTCTCACAATACTTCAAACTCTTCCATTATTATTATATGTGTTATGGTGATCTGTGATCAATGATCTTTGATGTTACTATTGTAAAGAGATTACTCACTGAAGGTTCAGATGATGGTTAGCATTTTTTAGCAATAAAGTATTTTTAATTAAGGTATATACATTATCTTTTTAGACATAATGTTATGAAACACTTAACAGACTACACTCTAGTGTAAACGTAACTTTTATTTGCACTGGGAAACCAAAAAGTTCATGTGACTTGCTTTATTTTCACGATATGGAAACAAACCTGCAATATCTACAAGATATGCCAGTACTGACTCTGTCTTAAGATAAGGAAAATGAAGCAGAAAGTATTTTACTTGTATAACGTCTTACACCCATGCTCTTGCCAAAAGAAGTAATAACAAGAATACAAATGAGAAAATGAACCATCCCAACTGTCAAAACATTTTTACATCTGTCTCTGTTTCAAGCAAGACATCAGGCTGTCTTTGTCATCAGTGTACTCCAATCTGTGGGGGCACTGGACTGGTTCAGGGGCAGCTACTACAGTTCACTTTACCTGTCCATTGAGCTGAAATGGGGGTGGCTGCCTACAAATCTGTGTTAAGGTCATAACTGGGTTCAAGGAGACACAGCACCATGACCAATTAGCAATGACCATGGACACACATGTGGAATCCAGGTAACATCTTCAAACTAAATCTCTTTCCTCCCTCAGAAATTCCATAACTTTGCACCATAATCACATTGAAACTTTGGGCCAGCATATACTACCATCAGTATGACCAAATGAGGAGTGTGCATGAGAGCACTTTGTAACAAGCTGCCCAGTACTTGACAAATGTAAGATGATGCTGACTGTCATCTTTACACAACAGCAGATGCAGAAACCATGAAAGACACATTTAAAGTTCTAACACAAGTGTTTACTCAAGGCTAAGCCCAAAGAGCCGCTAGGAAAGTCTAGGAGATTAAGGAAATTGAGGCTTCATGACTGTAAACAAAACAAACTGGGTTTACAGAGCCCCATTTTTTGTTTATTTTTTCAGCTAATGACACACAAAACTAGAAGCTACACTTTGAAATAATTTGTGTTTTGTTACTATGCCCAAGTACACAAAAATCTGAGACCTTTCTGAGAAGAAACCACCAGGTATTGCTACGAAGGTGACTGCTCTCTGAGAAGACTGATCGACAAAGCACTGCTTCTGCATTTCAACCTGCAGAACACTAAGGGCAGGACCTTCCCACTGCCAAAACCTGGGAGAGTCTAACTCACAAGATAAAGCCCTTCATCTGCTGCCCTCTCGTCCGTATCCAACCTAACCTCGCGTTAGTCTCTATCAATGCCTCCTATACCATACTCCTGAGGGTCTCAAGTTCCTGCTGCTTCAGAAAGTAAAATGTCCTTCTCTCTCTCTATGCTAATTAAAAGTTATTCCTTCCTTCAGACCAAATGGAAAGCTAACATCACTAAGGCTCTCCAGGGCTATCCCACTCTATACTGGTCTGCACTTCATTTATCACCCGGAGAGGATTTAACTTGTGTCCTATGGTATCATGTTCTTGTATATGTGTATGCTTACATTTCCCAAAGCAGGACTGAGACTCTCCATATCTCTATAGCAGCTCTAAAAAATGCACACTGAGGGCTTCTTAAGAGGCTCTAGCAGGAGAGGGTGCTATTCACTCCTGGACAGAAGGGTGGTGGTCCTCCATCTAGGCAGGTCACCACCTCTAGAGCGCAGATGCCCACAAAGTGGTGCAATTGAAAGGGAATCTTGCCAACTTGGCCAGATGAACCAAATTAACCCCCCAAATCAGAAAGGTACCAACTCAGGGCCAGAGGACACTTACAGCAGTGGTTCTTTGGGCTGGTCATATGCTAGAATTCTCTGGGCATCTTTTTAAAAAGTACACCAATGCCCAGGTGCTGCCACTAGGCTCTCTGACTCACCCTTGAGGGTGAGGTCCTGGCATTGAAAAAAAAAAAAGTATATCCAAGTGATCCTGCTATGCAGCCAGGGTTAAGAACCACTGCATTATAGCAAGTGAAATCACACCAAAGCTCCAGGCTATACCACTATATTCCGACAGAAAGCACTAGTACAGATAAAAAACTGAAGGAGCTTCGCAGGAACTGGGTGAAGGCCATCTGAGCAGTGATATTAATCACATCACTACGAGAAAAAGGCGTTGGTGTTCAAGTGAATTTTTATGCTTCAAATGGCTAATCAAGTATTTGAGAAAAGCAAAGAAAGGGTGGCAGGTTATAACCATAATTTTCATAATACTCTGTGATACTGTGATTTATAATAAGAAATATATTTAGTTTCTGGCAGAGATCTTAAAATGTTTGGAATTTCCAAAGTGAGGAAAGCCATAACTGTGTATTTTGTCATGTTAGTGAGGTGACTTTTGGAAGCACCTGAATGGGGGCTGGTTTCTAGAGGAATCAACCTTGTGATGAGAGGGTTGGAATTCAGTCCCCCACCTGCACTGACCTCCAGGGAGGGAGAGGGGCTAGAGGGTGGATCAACTGCCAATGGCCAGGAATTTCATCACCTGTGTAATGAGGCCTCCATAAAAGCCCAGAAGGACAGGGTTCTGAGAGCTTCCTGATTGATGAACACGTGGAGATTTGGGGAAAGTAGGGCTGAGAGCGAGCACAGAATCTCTGCTCCCTTCCCCTTCCCTTGCCCTGTGCATCTCTTCCATCTGGATGTTCATCTATGTCCTTTCTCATATCCTTTAATAATAAACTGGTAACCCAGTAAATAAAATGTTTCTCTTAGTTCTGTGAACTATTCTAGCAAATTGAGCCTGAGGACGGGTAGTGGGAACTCTGATATATAGCCAGTCGGTCAGAAGTACAGGTGACAACCAGGGCTTGTGGCTGTCATCTGAAGTAGGGGTGGGGTGAGCAGTCTTACGGGACTGAACTCCTACCCTGCGGAAGGTGATGTTATCTGAGAGTAGACAGCATCAGAACTCAGCTGAATTGTAGGACACTCAGCTGGTGTTTAAGAATTGCTTACTGGTGGTGTGAGGGAACTCCCCGAAGCTGGAATTCACACCAGAACACCCTTTTGCATTCCAACTCATAGACAAGACCCAGCACCAGCGTTTTCAATGATACCAACCCATAAATCTCAAAAGCCAGAGACTTCTGCTCTTCTCAGCAGCAAAAACCCAAGAGAAATGTCCTACTTGGTTGAACCATATACAAGTAATTCACAGATTAACAATCTGTTAGAGCTGAAAGAGCTTAGTTCATCTAACAGATTCAACCTGAAGCAGCTTTTTAAAAATGTTAAGTATGCACACTGATCATACAAAAACCAGATTCAACATTGTTAAATTCTCTTGAAATTAAAAACTGCATTTCCGTGGGTAAAAAGTGAAGCTGGAAAGGGACACACCAAGAAAAAGGGATACAGCAACTGTTTCATTTTAACCTGCTTTGCTGAAATTACCAATAAATACAACTAGAAAAATTGATTGTTAATAGAGTGTTAATAATAAATAATATTTCTCACTAATTTAGAGGCTTTGAGAGACTAAGGACGGCAGAAAAGAAGGCAAATCAAAGAAAAAAGTCTCCTTATCTCCTCCCGAGAGGCCAGTGGAGCAGAGCTCACCTGGAAGTCTTCCTTCACTGCTTGGAGGTCGTACACAAAGAACTTCTGACAATGCGGCAGGAGGAGGGCCAGCAAAAGGGACAGGGCGCTGGGGACCAGTAGAAGGCTCTTGGACAGAGGTGCCTTGTCTGGAGGGAGAGAGAAAACTGCTTTCAGAATGACTGTTTCTAAGCTTTTAAAAACCACCTGGGTGAAAAGCAAGAGAATTCACTTCATTTGAATTAGAATGAAGACCAAGTCCACAAACTCTGAAATTTAATTATTAACGTCTATTTTCAAAATATCTTCCTACGGAAGTAAGGGGTCAAAGGGCACTGGAAAAGAGGTGGAATTCACTGGCAGGGCTTCACTGTCATTTGGCTCTTACGTGAGACCAAACTAAGTTTATTTCCACAGAATACCTTTCACCTTTCAGAAAACAGTCACCAAAGTGTAAAGAAATAACAGAGGAGTATGTTTTCTATCAAACTGACCAGTTAGGTCCTGAGCATGACTGGGATTGACACACATAAACATTTATTCTAAGAAATTTAAAAAGTGGTTAGACTTGCTAATATCGCCGCCGCAGTGGCCTGTACAGATTTCCCACATAGGCACCCTGGAGCATGAGTCTGTTCTCCGTTGGAGAGTCTTGTCTCAATCTTATGCTGCCTTCAGACGACAGCTCAATTTCCACTTCCCACCATCCGTCTGTGACCCTCTTCTGCCTTCCCAACTACAGTAAAGACTCCTGACGGGGGGCTGCCTGTTCTCACTATACTGGCCACAAAGCCTGGCACAAAGCATACGAAATGTTCAGATTGTCAACAGCCAGGACCACAAGAAAGTGTCACTGACAGGGACCTTCTCAGATCATGCGAGGTGCACTTTCAGTAGTACTCATAAGAAATTCCCTGGTCGTGAGCGTACTAGTTTCAGTTGGCCATGTGGTTACTGCGCTTGTTTGAGTATATAAAAATAGCCCAACTACTTCCTCTCTGGTCCGGTCTTGCAAGCATCTAACTTGGAGCCATCGGTAAAGAGGTTGCATATTGTCTTCATGACCAAGATGCAGTTAAGGCTCCAGGGAACCTAAAAGCTACCAGAGCTCCCTGTCCCCCAGAAAAGGGGGCCCCCACTGCCCAGAACCTCAGCAGCACAGAAGAGCCCCTCAGCTGGGAGCCTGCCAACTTCAATTCTGACTAGGGCAGTTTAAGCCTCAGTTTCCCTTGCCTACAAAATGAAGAAAAGAGACACTCCCTCAAAAACGTTACAAGAAGCAAATGAGCTAAAGAATGAACACAGGGAAAACTGCTCTCACGGGCCTCAATCACCCATCAGGGGAACTGGATTCCTTGGCAAGCTCCTCCTTTATTATTCCGACAGGACCAGAGACGGAGCAGGGGTGACAGGTGCACCTTGGAGGGGCGGCGACAATCGTATTTCCTTGTGAAATTGGCCCCATTGTTCATTCCTGCCTCTTCCTCGCCAGCTCCTCGGTGACTCAACGTTGCTGGAGAAACACACAGCTGAGCTGCAAGATTTCACTGTAGGTTTACGGTCTCAAATCTCAAACTGATACTCTCCACTGACCAGCAGCTCTCCCACTTTTTTCTAGTAAGTGTGCTCTCTCCTCAGACCTTCCTGCTCCGTACACACAAAGGATTCCATGTCACCACGTGAATAAATGAATGGTTTGCTTTGATATTCTCGCTCATTCTCCACAATTAATACGCACTGACTACAAACCATGCCTTATCCTAGGCCCTGGGTACAGCAGGGAACGATGGACAAAGTCCCTCCCCTTGTGGTGCTTACAGTCCAGACAGGACAGAAAAGAAAATACACAAAGCAAGGAAAATATATATTCTGTCAGATGGAAATAAATGCTGCAGAGAAGTTAAGCAAGGCAAAGAGCGTGGCTGTGTTCTCCACCATGGATTTCCTGCTCCCTTTCCAGATACATCACTCCCAGGCAAATACTGAGGAGTCTTTCCCTCTGCCAATGCTCAAGCTGGTGGCTGTGCTATCAGCCAGATCCTAGAGTTGAAGACAAAACCGAACAGACCCTCCTGGAGGATTCACAACAGAGGGATACCATCAGTGAGAAACAAACCTGGTATTTTAGAGTTGTTTGCTACTGCAGCAGAACTAGCCTATCCTGGTTTGGGGGAAAACATAGCGCTAGTGGGGAAAGAGGGGTGCTCTTTTACACAAGGTGGTTAGAAGGCCCTCCTGACAAGGTGAAATTTGACCAGACACCTGAGGACGTGGGCCTTGCAGATACCTGGGGGAACAGTATTCCTGGCGGAGGAAAGAACAAGTACAAGTGCTTCAAGATAGGAACAAGCTCAACATGATTAAGAAACAGGAAGGCTGCTAAGGCAGCTAAAAGCAGAATAAATGCAAAGCAGACAGGTAGGATATAAGGTCGAAGTCGGGGAGCAAACAGTCCTGCAGGCCATCATAGGACTTTAACCTTTTCTCTGAGAGTGACAGGATGCTTTCGGGGGAAGTTAAGTAGAGGAATAACACGATCAGACATGTTTTCAAAGGATTGCTTTGGTTGCTAAATTGAGAAGAGACTACAGGAAGGCAAGCATGGCAGAAGGGAGACCAGCTAGGAGGCTATCGTCATAATCCAGACAAGAGATGATGATGGCCTGGACCAGGGTAGTTTAAGTGGGGGTGGTAAGAGTGATCAGAACTGGGATATGTTCTGAAGATACAGCAGGCAGAATTCGCTGGCTAACTGCATATAAAGTATAGGCAAATGGAGAAATCAAAGATGACTCCAATGTTTTTGTTCTGAGCAAGAACTATTGCTAGTCCTAAGAGGGAAAATTCCGCCATCCTCGCCCTTACCATGCCTATAAGATGTGGGCCCATCCTGCAAAATGCTCCCAAATCCCCATCTCTCCCCGCCCCCACCCACCAAGGCTCTACCTTCTACACCAGTGCTACTCAAATTAACCAGTCCAGAAGCTGTTACCATTCCATAGTCAGAACCAGAATGCAAATCAACTCACTGTGTTCCTCAGGGAGGAAGTCCTGCTATAAAAAAATACCACCTGTATTGAACACGAGCTCTGCTCAAATGTCACCTTATTTGTGAATGTCTCATGTAACTCTCTATCCGCTTTTTGCTGGTTTATTTTTTTTCATAGCACTTATCAACAAGTGACTTATTAAATAGTGATTCACCAAATCTATGATTCAAACTGATTACAAAATCCATCATTATTTTAGGTGTTACTAAAAAAGAAACACTGTCAAATATAATCCTAAAATGACACCCATTATAAGGTACAACTCAATATTAGAAACACTAAAATGTGAAAAAATGCAATTTAGAATCAAGAAATACATTTCTCTGTGTATTGTCCATCTCCCTATCCTCAGTCCCCACTAGAATATAAGCTTCTTGAAGGCAGCAGTGTTGTGTGTATGTTCACTGCTGCAGTATCCCTCATGCCTATAACCAGATCAGGTCCATAAAGGCAGTCAATAAGTGTCTGTCTAATGAAAGGTGACTGATAAATAAGAGATGCTCAATAAATACTGGTGAAATTGATGGGTAAGTGGATAAATAAAATGCGGCATGTCCACACAGTGGACTATAATGAAATATATTCAGTCTTTAAAAGGAAGGAAATCCTCACATGCTACAACATGGATAAGCCTTCTGGACATTATGCTGAGGGAAGTAAGCCAGACACAAAAAGATAAATACTGTATGATTCCACTTATATGAAGTACCTAAGGAGTCAGATTCAGAGACAGGAAGTAGGATGGTGGTTTCAGGGGTTAAGGTGGGTAGGGAGTTGTTTAATGGGTACAGAGTTTCAGTTTTGCAAGATGAAGGGTTCTAGAGACAAACGCACAACGTGAATGAACTTAATGCCATGGAACACAGAAAAAAATGGTTAAGATGGCAAAATTTATGTTAATGTATGTTTTACCACAATTAAGGCTAAAAATAAATAAAATATTTACTGAAATAATAACTGATCCTATTTATACAACCATTTATATTCTGCCTAGAACTAACTCCCTAAAAATACAGATCTGATACTTAAATCAGATAACACTACCATTAAGTCCTCACCTTAACGTAAGCAAAAATCAGATCCCAAAACCCTATGAGGAAAGCAACAATATACAAATGTCTAAGAAGTCCCACATCAAAGGACAAGTATACAGTACAACTATGGACAGCAAGATTTATTGATCAACTCAAGATCTGTACATTTCACCATATGAAAAGTTGACCCCCCCAAAAAAAGAACTTTAAATAATTGTTAAATGTTAAGCTAACAACATGTACACTTGAGTACTAGTAAGTGACTACAACTTACTCTGAAATGTGTTAAAAAATAAGATGAATTGATGACATAGAGTACAGATATTTAATAAAGCAAATATGTAAACTGTTCATTGTAGAACCTAGGCGGTAGTTACATGGTGTTCATTATATTATTCTTTCAACTTTTCAGTGTGTTTGAAATTTTTCATAATAAAACATGGGGGCATGGCACACAGTTAATCACAGAATTTGAGAGCTGAGAAAGGACTTCAAACTACATGAAGCAAAAACTTACAGGAACAGATAAATCCATGAATATAACTGGAGTCTTCAACACTCTTCTCTGAGTAATTAATAACACAAGTAGACAGAAAGTCAGTGTTATAGACTAATACATGCCCCCATTCATATGTTGAAGCCCTAACCCCCAATGTCACTGTTCTTGGAGATAGGGTCTTTAAAGAGGTAATTTAAGGTTAAGGGAAGTCATAAAGGTGGGGCCCTAATCCAATCTATCTTTATAAGAGAAGAAAGGCACGAGGGATGTGCACACACAGAGGAAAGACCATGTGAACACAAAGGGAAAAGACAGTTATCTACAAGTCAAGGAGAAAGGCCTCAGGAAAAGCCAAACTTGCCACCATCTTGATCTTCCAGCCTCCAGACTTGGGAGAAAACAAACAGTTGTTTAAGCCGCCCAAGCTGTGATATGTTATGTCAGTCAGTAAGAATATAGAAGACTTGAAAAACCATATTAATCAATTTGATCTGATTGATATTTATAGACTTCTCTACCCAACAATAGCAAATTACACATTTTTTAAATGCATCTGAAACATTCTC